TAAAAACTGAACTCTGCCAAAAGTGTCTCGCGCGGTCATTATTCGTAAGCGTTTTAACGGCATTGTTGCAACAACTATTCTGCGTCGTGTTTCGGACGCGCGATCCAATCATTTTCGACCGATCGTTTTGCGCGCGCCCATTTACGGTGCTGCGAAAAAGAAAATAACCCGGGAGGGGGGAGTGGTTGGGGGTAAGAAAAATAAAAATAAAATGAAAACCCTCGGCCGTACGTTCGGCCCGAGTCCGTGAACGCGCACGAAAAAATAATGGAAGAGAAAAAGAAAAAAGAAATGGAAAAAAAAAGACGGCCGCGAAGCGACACAGCTAATTAACCGCGGTACGAGTGACAAGTTGACAGTGACGCGAGTCGGCGCTACCGGTGTGTTACCGTTATTGATATTCATACGGACGGACGGACGATAAGATGCGGGTGGGGGGGGGGGGGGTGAAAGAATTGCAGTGCAAGCAGAACGGGCCACGTACGCGCGGTAGAAATGTTTATAACGAACGTCGCGGTATGCACGCGCGCGTCTAGACCGTCTGACCGGCGTTCCCGGGGATCACCGCGGTTTTCCGTCCTCTCCGCGTCCCCCATCACGAAACGTCCGGTAACGCGGTTACGGTTACGACCGTAACGAACCTGACGGCAGTGCTGCAGTGGCGTGTCCATGGTGGGTGGGGGGTCAGTACCCCTCCCCCCCATGAACCTGAATGGTAAATTAACTTTTACACGAAACACGGTTTTTTCTTTAACATTTTTTTATATTTTAGAATTTTGACTTGGAAATCATATTAATAGTTTGTATAAACACTATAAACGTATTACGCACACGCTGCACACACACACACATACACACTCACACACACACACAAACACACACACACACATACACACACACACACACGTCATAATATTATGATCATATTTAGATAATTTACTACTACTTTGATAATTTTTGCTTGGGAACATATTACTTAGGTTCTCTACAACGGTTGATTCTAAATCGGTCGTCTGGTCCCGATAACTGAGATAAAAGCGATATATCATTGTCTGTATTCAAAGTTTATTTTGGGTATACCTATTGCGTTCGCGGCTCACCGATTATTTAACGCAAGTACCTTATTGTGTAAAACTAATAGTTATTAGTAAATGGTTGTTGCTCGTTGGTGTCTCATGTCTCACTGTTTTACTTAATAATCGTTTATTCGTTTATATTTGACATCACATTCTAAGACGTCTTAACGTTCCAGTATGGTAAGATATTTTTAAAATTTAATTTTTAGTATACCTAGTATATTGGACAGAAAATATTCTAATATCTAACATTTATGTTCCTATATTAGTTCCTAGTTACTAAATTGTTATTATTATTATTATTATTTATTACAGGCAAATTCTTTAACAAATAAGTAGACTAGAAAAATTGTTTTTTTTTTACCTAAGCCAAAAAAACTAATGTCAACCAGACTTAAAAATACCGAGATAAATACAAATACTAGTCAAAATGATAGTGATAATATTAAATATATATAAATTTGCTGAACCCCCCCCCCCCCATAAAAAGTTCCTGGCTCCGCCACTGAAGTGCGGTATACAGGTTTGCGCTTTTTTAACGTCGCACGGAACGTCGACACTTTACGCGACATTGAACGTTTGATTTTTTGCGTCGGTCCGGTTTATTGACATTCGCGAACAAATTTTCAAGAACCAATGAAAATCGAAAACTGTTTTCACATCTAACTCTTGGTTTAATGTTTAAAAATGTATAACCGTTTATCGAATATCGAAGAAATAAAGGTCGACGTACGTGATATTTGTTCTTTTGGATTTAACGATATTGTACTTATAACTATTTTGTATCGTATTAAAGATGTTTTAGATATTTTTTTTCGATTTTTTTTTTTTTTTTTTTTTTTTTTGATAGAATGGTGGTTATGTCATAACAAAAATTTGAATGAAATACTTGTTATTCTTTTTTTTTCTGTGTTCGTACAAAAATGAAGGAACGTCCCCTAAAGCGATGTTTTCGGTTTTCGTACAAATCACTAATAGCCTCCGTCACCCACGCTACAGTATCGAGTTTTGCATTTCGCCCTTAGGGATCTTTATTTTTCCGAACATTTTTCTCGAGATGAGCGTGTAGCAGCTACCGTGGTGTTTTCGACCCGAGTTCGTACCCGGCTCGATGATACACACGCTCTTATATTGCACACGACGATCGGAATAACGGTCGGTAACATACGAATTTTGACGTCGGTATTGTAGGAAAACTATGTGTCGAAAAGTCTGTCACCGAGTGGAGCACATGCGACGTTCGTTGGTCAAATAATGACGGTCACGATTAGAATATCGAGTAAAATAACCTGACTGTAACCGCTCTCGCCTTAGCAGTGCACTGGTAATGTACATTTCTGGAATATTTGCTTCAAATTTGATTTTTAATCACTCATTCTTATGTTCATATAAATTTAATTTAGGTTATTCGGGTATTCAGTCACGATCGTGTATGCCATGGATGTATAAAGTGTAAACACAACGGTTCAACAACTCGTTTTGGTAGCTAACATTAATCAATTATAAAACTGTTCAAGTCATGGCAATTAAACTGCGATTCGTTAAAAACAATTTTATTGATTTGTCGTTACATTTTAACTATAGTGAAATAAAATAATTTATTTCAAAAAATGATTATAATCCATATAAAAAGCAAATCCATAAATCCGGATGATCCGGTATTTAAGCACATCCAGAGAAGAAATTTGATTCAAATCCGGGTTTGAATATCCAGATGTTCGGAAAATTCAGATCTCCGGACGTCATGCTTATCCCTACAGTGCGTAATGCTGTATGCATATAATGCAGAAGTATTCGAAATGAAATGAAAAAAAAAAACCTTAAACAAGTTCTGCAGACAGATCTAGACGAATGGACTATTCACTATACGGTCTTAAGTGAAAAAACGAGTAGGATTTTCTCGAATAATCTTAATGCAAATTATATAGGTGTAACTGTTGCGAATTGTATTTTGTATACTACCATAGATTTGATAAGTGAAACACGTACCTCTTCGACTCAACTCCGGAGGATCTGTCACGTACGCGTGTAATATATATTTGGCGGCTTGGTGAGAAAGTGTCTGAGAGTTAAGTGTTAACAAATTACATCCTGATAAAACATTCAAATGATTTAACTCATTCGTTAGAAGTATGTACGATTATAGGACGGGATCAAATATCGTGGGTGTATAGAAGCGATGCAAGCTTCGGAAAATATTTACTTAATCTTAATGAAGATTTCACTGAACCAAAACCGAAAACTCTACTTTTGCAGTACGAAAACATATATACAAACACCGACTATAGCGCATTAATACACCCGTTGTTAAGTTATAATATATTACTTGTAATATAAACATTGTTATTTTAGATACTGAATGAAATGCCTCGAGCAACATATTGGCTTTACTACTATGTTATTTGTTTGTTTGTGTATCTGTGTACACGATTTTAAACAGGACAAATTTTCCAATCATCAAAGTTATAAGAAATTTCTAATAGGACATTTTTTCTAGTTAGGACTTTGAAAGAAGATCGTTTTTATACACTTCCCGGTAGTTTTCTTAATAATTGCAAAAAATAACAAAAAAATTACCACTTTGTAGAACCATTAAAAACGCAATAACTTCTTTCAATATGCTGATAGTATTTCTAACAAAAGCTACTTTAAGTAAATTATTAAGTAAATTAGAAAGATAAATATTTAACACATCATTGAAACATGGACATTGTACAGCCATTGGACATTCTTTTAAAATAATAGTTATGGCACCAATATTTTTAAAGCCATTACGCTGTATCCATCAGTTCCTACGCCTACAAAAAAATTCAAATTGAGTTCAAAGTCTTCTAAAATATCTAATAAAATATTATCAATAGCAAATTCTATAAGGTTTGACTCTCCAAACCTAACATAATCCACATTAATACCGGTGCAACTCGTTTGCGCACAATTTAAATTTTTTACCTAGATATCGATGACTCGTTTGCGCACAACAAAATCAGTCGTTTACCTGTAAACGGACGACTCGTTTGCGCACAACATAATCACTAAGTAACATGTATTTTATATTTTTAAATTTAAACTTACCTAAAGTAATTGAATTATCGGTACAAATTATCAGTACAAATTACCAGCATATCAATATCAATATATAATGATTTAAAATAATCGTCGTGTATTAGGAAAGCGTAATACTTTTAAACAGTCGTTCGCCAGAAAGCTGTACTATAACTACTAACTGTATTGACTATGGATATCGAAATTTGTGATGTTTTTGAAACGCGTCGAGGAAAAAAATGTTTAAACATAGAAAGTTATAAATTTTGAGAATTCCGAACTTTAAAATCTGGCGATAAACATTTTAGGTGTACAAATAAAAAATGTTCCGTAAGTCATATAAAATCATATAAAATTTTAAAAATGACAAACACGCATACCCATGACGAGTACGACGACCGAACAATTCATCGAGAAGTAGTAAGAAGCAAATTGAAACGTACAGCTGAAGAGGATTTACATATTATACCAAATAAACTAATACGCCGGGAATTGAAAAACAATGATAACTCCGAACATCTTCAATATAGCGATATGAAATTAATTCGAAGATCCATGAATGAAAAACGAAAAAAATCCTTTCCAAACATACCGAGATCTTTAGAAGATGATAAAAAACAATTAGTTGATGATCAGCATAATCTTACTTACAAAGGTAATAAATTTTCTTTCGTTAGTGATGATGAAAATATATTTATATTTACATGTAAACAAAATTTAGAGTTGCTACAAAGTGCAGAACACGTTTTTGGGGATGGGACATTTTCATTCGCTCCGAAATATTTTGTTCAACTTTATACTGTTTACGTATTTAAAAACAATTTTTATGTTCCTGTGGCGTTTTGTTTTTTAAGTAACAAACATACTGATACTTACATCAATATGTGGAGAACATTACAAAATATATGTATTCAAATTACTGGTAATATAATAAATTTAAGCAATTTTCATGTCAACTTTGAAAAATCTGTGCATAATGCAGTATTGCAAATTTTCCCTTACTGCAAAATTACGTGTTGTAACTTTCATTTAGGGCAAAATTGGCTTAGACATATTCAACAACATAAATTATTATCGAGCGAGTACTTAAACAACGACTCAGAAGTTGGCAAATGGATGAAATGTTTTTTTGGATTAAGTTATTTACCTCCTGACGAAGTTTCTGATGGATTTTGTGATCTTATGTCGATAGCACCAAGTACTACGTCTAGTAATATTTCTATATTTTTCGATTATATTTTAGAAAATTACATTGCATCGGACAGCAATTTTCCTCCAACATTATGGGCTTGTAAACCTACTAATAATCCTAAGACTACTAATGGTGCAGAGAGTTATCACAAACAATATAACAGTCAGTTTTACACTACTCATCCGCACATACATCAAGTAATCGACGTCATTATTGAAATTCAAAGTGACACTGATTTAAAAATTAATTCGATAAACAATAAAATCATAAATTTCAAAAGAAAAGAGATAATCAATAAGGAGATACAATCGGAAAACATTTGGAATGAATATAAAAATAATATTATTAATCGTTTAACTTATATAAAGAAAATCGGACTTAAATGCCACCATTCTAAATTAGTATAATTTTATAACTAATAGACTACTATTATTACTTATTAAACCTACAATGCATGTTTTTTAAAATATTTTAATTTTTGTAATATTAAATTAATAATTGACAATATTGTTTACGCGTATAATCATTGACGTTATTATTACTTTTATCTGTATTATATTGTTGTATATATATCTTATTCTCGCCGATATCTGGTCGCTCGATGTTAAATTATACAATAAATACTTAGAAATGCAAAGTTAAATCTTAATTTATATATTTTTTTTTTTTTATATATATATATATATATATATATAATATGCATATATATTATTATTTTATACAGTCTATTAATTAATTAAAATTAAGCAAAAGAAAGGAAATATGCTCAAACGAGTTGTACCTTTATTATTTAAATCTAAAGTATGTGTGCGCAAACGATTAGTGATTTTGTGCGCAATCGTGTCGTAAAAAAGATAAATGTGCGCAAACGAGTCGCACCCATTAATACAGTGACGTTATCAAGGAAGGTGTCTGAGGGAGCTATAACACACCCCTCATGGGTCGTGTGCTTGTACTATACTAGTATACAGTATTTAAGTATTTTACAACTTTGGTATAAACTAAATATTTATGAATAACGGGTTTTGTCTTCGGTACATAGGCATATATTACTTCTGCCGTGATTATCATTATTTTGTTGGTGGCTATCATGAAGGTTATCGGTGACTCTCGCATAAAGCTATTATTTTATGATTATAACCACTATAGTACTCGTATTTTTTATTATATTGCAGCGATACTACCGCAGCTGACCACTGTTAATTTATTATTTTTATAAATTATATTTTAAAAAATATTATTGAAAATATTTCAAAACGTTTGAAATACATTTATGAACATGTTGGTAGGAAGGGGAAAGGATGAACTCTGAAATATTTTCTTATCCAACTTACTCAAAAAAGTATTTGCCCACCCCCATTTAAAAATCCTAGCTATGCCACTGCATTAATGGATTTATTGGCTTGAACGAATTTAATGGATCGTTCATAGATTTTTCCCATCATATAAATATCTTATTGATAAACCGAATTCGACGTGTGACGTTTTGGTAATTTTATCGAACATGATAGCAAACACTTCAGCTTTTCTTATATGATCAATAATTTGGCCATATAAAAATAGATATACATATATGTACATTATTCTGCTTTCAATTATTTCCGTACATCGTAGACCGAATCATCGCATCAACACAGTGACGTTATAGGGAGATAGGGGCTTAGTGGGCTAAATTCCCCCCCCCCGACATTTTTAAAAAAAACCTTTGTTATATTTTAATGGTGCTTTATGCTTATTTAGAAATCATTTTATAAAAAAAATAGAAATATGATTTTAACCTGGTTGCATTTATTTTATACAATTGTACTTCAATAGTTCATTAAAATGTTTTAAGATTCTCAATTTATAGTTCAATGTTTATTATTAAGAGTTAATTATATAATAAATAAATTATAATTGTATAATACGAGTACATTTTATTCATAGCATATTTTATTATAGAAATAGTCCAATAGACATATATATTAAATAGTCATGTAACGTATACAGAAAATAAATAGTCAAAAGTCATAACTAAATACATAGGTATGATCATATTAATACAAATTTGCATTTTATGCTGCATATGTACAATTATTCCATTATTTGGTAACAGGTAGAAAATATATATTTTATCAATATATTGTTTATTCAATTAATTGAGAGCATAGCACGATTTCGTTTCTAACCAATGTAATTTAAATTTGTAATCATAATTTACAGTATACCAATATTGATAAGTGTGAATATAAAAATATAAACATAATTCAATTAATAAATTATAATAAAAATTAATCATATTAATAATCGAGCTTTATTTCAGGAGGGCGTAGCTCAATTGTAACTATTATAAAAGTAAGGGGTGCAACCGTACACCTTGACGCTCCTGTATATTAATATAATAGATCCAATATATTTCAGTCTGGGGTCTTGGTCTCTATGTTTTCTCTGTGGATCCACCACTGAGTCGACGAATTATTGAATTTTAAATTTTTATACTATATAATTGAAAACTTCATACACGATTTTTTCATAAAATTTTGTACGTAGTCGAAACGTAGTCTTGAAAAATAGCAAATTTTCTGATTTTTCCAAATTTTAGATGACTTTTGTTTTTTATGAAAGTTAATTTTGACATTAAAATATAATTACCTTGTTTAGAAATTTGATTTTTCTACCATATGAATTATCTTCAAAAATGTAAACTGATTCGCCTTGCCTATTTTAATCAAAATCGTCTTTTCGAGAGCAATGGTAGTACAATAATTTCAAGTTTTAAATACTAACATAATATAGGAATACCATACCCTATATTATCACCGACCTAGGAGTCTCGACCTTAATACATTTAATTTTATTTACTCACCGTGAAAATAACAATATCAAGTTTTCGTGTGCCTGCTAGCGTGCACTGCATATAATATGTTGATAGTTACACATCAAAACGTGCGCGTAACTTTTTACACCTTTCACCTTCTGTAGTCGTTCAAAAGTTACGTTATTTGCACTTGCTATAAACGTTCATATGTTTTTATATTTCACGGTAAAAAGTTCTCTCTTAAACTACTAAGAACTCGTGCAAAATAACCTCCGTATAAAATACCATCTGTGTTCAATCTATTAATTAAGCTGTATAAAACTTTTCGAATTTTCCTTATGCCTTCCAAAAAGGTACACAATCAAAATAAATTAAAAAAAAAAAAAAGGAATAGCACATATACACACACATCATAGTAGTAATTTTCTTCCGCGTGGTTTAATTTCTACGTATTATTTCATTGGATGTACGTTTTAGGATTCTGATGAACCTCGTCAAGTACAATGTTCGCCGACTTAACCTTGTATGATTGAAAAATAGCTTGAGTATTTTTAACGTCTGAGAAATCCATTAAATGTAAAATTAATAACACTATTAAATAATATAATTGCATTGTTCCCGAGTAGAGAACTATACTCAAACATTATGACCGGGTAAACATCAAGTACACGTTTTATGTCAAGACAATGCTCAATTAATTTTAATTGTAAGGAAGTTATGGTACCTTCTGCTTGATATATTTATGTATTTCATTAGCTCCAAAGAATCCAAGCTCTTGGATTAGATTACATAATGTACGATTTTGATCGAAAAATAAAATAGGTATGTAAACACAATTTTTCAGTGCTGTGAATTGTTATTCTCAAATGTATACAAAATAATAAAAACCCTTAGTAATTTATCCGGTGATGAATGTTGAACATTTTCGCCACGCCAACACTTTTAATTTAAAAAATAAATTTATCATCTCAAAAAGAAAACCATCGGCTTAATTGAGACATATATACTTTGAACTTTTTACCACATTATTGTTATTATTTTTATTATTATTTTTTTTTTAACAAGAACATATTATTCTGAATTTATTGTCGTCGATCTTATTTAACTAATTTATATTCGGTAAATTATGTTCAAAATTATTGCAGTATTAGAATGGAAATTAATAGCAATAACGAGCCCATCAGTTATGTTTAAACATTTCTTAAATGAAATATCTTTGTACATAAAATTGTAAACCATAGATAAAATAAACAGTTTGTAAATCACATGAATATATATGTATAATTAAACTGTATTTCTTCGAATAAAATGCAAGGCTGGGCAAGTTAATGATATTTTTTAACTCAGTTAAGTTTATTGAGTTCATGTTCAATTAAGTTAAAAAATATCATTAACTTAATTTAACTTCAATTAATAAGTTAATTACGAAAAAAAAAATATTTAAATTAAGTGCTGATATAAGTGATATATATTTATACATTAACAATTTACAACAGATCTGATTTAACATTAACGATGATGAAAACGAAAAAAAGCGAAAAAAAGCAAAATTGCATTTATACTTTGAAATATGCAAAAATATGCAACATACAATTTCATATGTAGCTTTTTGGTTATCTGAAACAAATGTATAGCTTACATAGGTACCTCTAGGACCTCTCAAAAAAAATATGCAAATGATAGAAGTTATGAGCTTTGCTCATCACTATAACCTATATAAAAAAAAAAAAAAAAAAAAATCGATCCTCATCATTAAGTTATAATAACTTATAATTGTATCGATGAAAACAATTCGTGCGAAATACGAGTACATGTAACCGGGTTTTGCATAGTAACCGTCCATAGTCGATAAATTCACTTATCCAGACTTTTTTACGTATCGTGTAAACCAAGAATAATTTATCGATTATATATGTACAAGTATTTTAGCGCTGGGCCATATGTGATCAAAGGTATTGGAAATAGTTATTGGATAATATTATAATATATTCTTATAGGTATATACAATTTGTACATACATTATCGTATACTTAGAGTTGTTAAATAATTACTATTTATTTTTTAATTTTGTACGTAATGATCTAGCTTTAGAATCCATTAAAATGTACAACTGAAACCGTAATCTGATTAAAAATAGATATTGTACCTAAGGTTTTAGTAAGTTGCTCTCGGTAAAGCTTAACAAACGGTCAGGGATTTTCTCTTTCATATTCGTCAAACGCCTAAAGCACACACATGATACTTGTGTGCGTGTACCAACGTATGATATGAACGGCAAATGGAGTAGCGGGAAAGGACGCGGTACTTGAACCGAAAACAAATGAATCAAATGAACGAAACAGGACGACGCCTACAACCGTATTCGTAAGAAAACAACGATGATCGACGTGAACAACAAATCCGGGAATCGAACGGCCGACGTTAATAGCGTGTGTCGTCACATACGTGTGCGAAGAGAATAAAAACAACAAAAAAATTAAACTTTCGTGTCCTAAATATTCGTCTACGTTGATATACAAGCAAAAAACCAATCGGTCTGCCTCAACGGCTCGAGTCGGCCGTAATTATGTCGTCTACCGTTCTAATTTAAATAAAATAATAATAATGTTCGGCGCGTATTACACCATTATACGTTTACAGTACACGATAGCGCCCATTTATGCGACTGAACTTGTAAGTCCCGAGGCGTTTATACGCGTTAACGGGAGCTCCGTCGTTCCATGACCGTATTTTAGGGGAAGGCGAAGGGAAAATCGCCCCGTATTTGAGGGATCGATTATATGTGAGGTACACGTTTCATTTTTTTTTTAATGTGGATTATTTTATAACGAAATCAAACTACGTGGGGGTGTGAATACTGAATTGAGCTTTTTATCGGGTCCACACTTAGAGGAAAATCAAACAAAACACAAGCGTAACTTTCAAAACACAGGCAGGTGTTGAAAAAGAACTATATAAAAGTCGATTCTAAGTGGATCCGGCGTTAGATTCAAAAAAAAAAAAAAAAACCACAGATATTAAGGATTCATCTGATTTAATTATTACCAAACATTTTACTTGTAAATTTTGATCCTGAATTAAAGAAAAAATTTGAGTCACCTCTCTCCCCCTAGAAGTATTCCACTGTGGCGTACTGTGAATTACGCGCAAAATGGTACCACGTCGGCTTTTTCGGGCTCTGACGACGAACATCAATAACATAACCTTTCGGACGTCGTTCGATTGATCGACATTATTCTCGCCTAACGTCGCGGTGTCCATACGCGGTTGCATTTGCGCACGTTCAGTATAAAACTTGATAGCACTAAAACTATCCACTCCGAGGTGATCTTTGGGGAGCAACACCCTACCCCCACAAACACCGTTTAATTATAAATGAAGCAATTTTCTATATTATAAATAAATATTATAAATAAACATCACTGTTTCTTATCAACAAGGCTAAGATTTGTATGCAACAGCATGTTTTTTTTGCGACTTCTGATTATTGATTTTGTCAGTAATGCTCATGGATCACCTCACGATAAGATGAATCGTGGTGTTTTCATTTTGCATGTTTTTGCATATTTCGTGTAAAATGCATATTATTGCATATATTGAATAAAATTAATATTATTGCATATTTCGTAATTAGTATTTATAATTTAATATAAATATTTCGTATTTAATTCTAGACCTACTGATTAAAGTATAAAACTTCGTTTTTTTGTCAAACTTAAATTTTATTTTATTTCTCATTTATATTATATTATGATAAATAGCCAACCACTGATGTATTTTAACAAATTAATATTTTTTTTTGTAACAATATTTTTGTGTTTATCTTATAAAAATTGAAATACATATTTTGCATATTTTGGTAAATAAAATGCATATTTTACAATTTTTCATTGCATATCCTATCCCTGCTTATCAATTAGTGATCAAACCTGTAGACAGTAAGCAAAACCAAAATCTTAAATGGTGTTTCAGCAAAAACTTGACCATCTTCACAGTATCACATGCGTAGGTAACATAATCACAAATACCCAATGCTCTTAATGCATTCATTAAACCATTACCAATGCAAAATGGGGTTTACTCATTCTTATAAATGCAAAATAATCCTCTTCAAACAATATTCTAACCTCGAAATAAACTGGGGGTACTATTTTAGAAATTGGGAGTGTTAAGCGCCCCCCTAGCACCCCCGTATGTGCACTAATGTGCCGTTGTCGTTCCCCATTGGGTAAGCAATCGTTTTTTCTCCTTTTTTTCACGCAAAATCGCTAATTACCGTATACATAAATATATATACAGAGGTTCCACTGTATATATAAACATGCGTATGTAGCAGAAGTGTAGACGTGTATCGCGCATTCTTTAAAGACATCATAAGTACAGATGGTCGTGCGGGAAGGGAAATCCAATTAAACTTACTCGTGTTACGCAACACGCGGTGCCACATAATCAAATTGTTAATGGTGAGGGGGAGAGGTTTAACACTTTTCCAAAAAAATAAACGATTTTACAATATTATACAAAATATATATGAGGTATGAATCAATGATCATACTATTTTATTACTGCTGCAAATGCAAACGCAGAGTTATTTACTATTGCATGATCGAAATCAATGTTCTCTTTCTCTTAACCATCGTAGCAAGTCATTTGTGAACGTTGAGACTTTTTTTTTCTTCTGGGGAGGGAGGTCAAAACCCGAGCACCACCATCCCCCGAAAACACGCCATTGGCACCACATATGCAGACAAAGTTATAATCGTGTATCAATACGTAACATTTAATACGCAGTCGATCCGGGACACGCGTAACATTGAGGCTTAACAAAATGATAATATTAACTGTCTATTATTTTGTCTAGATGAAAATATAATGTGTTTATCTAAGATGAACACCAATTTTTGGTCGTCTACAGTTTATTTATTAAGAATTTTTTTTTCAAGTATAATATCTTTCTTTCTTTTTCTTTCTTCGGTAAAACTCGGCCACCAGGACCATCCTGTCATTACATTCTTGCCTCTAATTTTCTCTATCCGATGTCTGTATCCTCCAGTCAACGAATCGTCATAACACTGTATATAATATCTCATTAATATAATAAGTGCTTCGGGGACTCGGAAATATTTCCGTGCGTTACCAGGGTAGCTGCGACAATACTATTCAATAATTAAATGTGTAGACACAATTTAATACGATTGAAAAATATCCATACGTTTACATTAATTTCAACGAACAAACCTTAATGAGTAACGACCAAACGTAGCAGTTATTTGAAGCAGATTTACATGTATATTAAATATCTGTGGGTTTCACCAAGAATAGTAATAATATATCATAACGGCAATTATCTACTTTTTGGGTAATGGATAACTGTTAACTATCACCGTCATCATCATCTACTGTTTGTTTCGTGGTAAAAACTATTAAAATCTTCTTGAGAATAAATCCTTTGATCCACGTGGGGCAGTTTTCTTTTTTTTCTTTGATTTTATGTTAGTAAATTGTAAAATATCGTGACGCGCTAAACAGTCAAACGAGCAAGCCTATTGCCTATTATTCATTCACCATCAATAACCGTTCGCTAGTATATTTTCCGACTCGACCGGTCTTACCACAAAAAACGTGAACGATTAGACGAGATTTCGAAATAAATGTATACTATCAAATTTTACATAATTTTTTTTTTTGTTCTAAACAAATATAACGCTTTATGATCGGGACAAATTTCATACGCTGCTCACAAATTGCAGAATGTTTTATTCATGATTGACCCTATAATTATTAACAGTTTTTGTTCGACATTTCGATATAAAATCATTGTTTTTTTTTTTTCAAACATCTATCCATTTTTTTATCCAAACGAATTCATAATAATTATTTTAGTCGATCTCATTTTTATCTTTATCCGAACAGATTTTTGACGTACCGTATTTATGTTTATCTGGACGTCAAAAGCGTTTATCCGGGCTCAACACACCGGGCACTCGGTTTGAGTCACATCGGTTCTGTATTTCGTATCGCGGGTTAGCTAATCGCGCTAGTCACGGTTTATCATTGCGGCACGCGCGTACGAAGTGGAAACATTTGTCCGCTTGTCGGGACCGCTTTCCGGGAGATTTTCGCGGATCTCTTGGGTTTAAAAACGAACACGCCCGTACATATTTAGCCCCGCACGGACGTGGCGCGCTAATGTCTACAAAGTTAAAATTATAACAATGCGGGAAAGAGTAGACA